AAAAAAGTACATTATTTCTAATTATCCAGCTGGATTTGTCTTATAATAAATATGAGAAAGCAATACGAGAAATATGTCGAATTCTTTCATAGAAGAGACCTAGGATATTCTCAAGCGCCTAAATCAACGGATCGACGGAAATCAGTTTTTAATTAGTAGAGTTCTTTATTGATTATCGCAATGAAAAAAAAGATGGTCGTCATTCGATGGCGAATAAACTAATTAAGAGAGTTATCATTTCGATGAATAAAACCTGAAGCTGCGACCACCAATTTTTTCATAGAGTTTGCACTGATTGGCTAAAATTTAAAATCCGCAATTCGCACAATGAATTTTCAGTATATCGTTACCATTTAATCGTAATAACCGCTTCAATTAATGAGCAACGTCTCGGATCACATTGAGGGAGCTGCTTGAGAACGTCCTTAATATCCGCATTTCGCACCATGATTTTTCTACAAAAATCGCTATAAGAATTATTTGTAATGCTTGTGAACGATCTTAATCACATTGAGGGAATTTCTTGCAAACACCTCTAAATAATTTTATCAAGCAAAAAAAGCGGGATCAACTTAAGAAAACTGAATTGTTCTGATATTATTAAGACCGTATATAGTTATTCCAGAGCATCTTTGAGAATTGGGTCTTAATACTAAAAAATTCAGTGCAATTCTTTTTTGCTAAACCATTTTTGGTAGACATTGCTTACATGTAATTATAAATTTAATGCATAAAGCACGAAAAAGATATCATTTTTGGTGTATAGTAAATCACGAAAGACAGATGAGTTACTAAAAAAGTAATAAATTGTAAATACTCGGTTGCAAAGCTGGAAAGTCTGCATCATTTTCGCTTCAATAATAAAGATCACTTAAAGAAAAACCCGGCTAGATCCAAATGAACTAAATTAATCGAGATTAATAATTGGTATTTCCGATGATTTAAAAAGTCAAAAAAATGCGATTAAAAACACGTTATTCGGTGGAGGAATTTCAAAGTTGGGCATAAAAGTTCTGGTTATGACGATCGAGTAAATTTTTAAATAAAATCTCTCTTTCAATGGTTTTTTTTTTGCATCAATAAAGGATTTGGAAGGGAAATTCTTTTCTTTCTGCCTCAAAGATCATTTTAAATATTAAAATGATAGCTACAATTTATCATAATCTGTCACTTCTTCAAGTACTCCTTGGGACGGTAGCGATAAAAGATAGTCGGTGTACGGCTTGAAATAATTGTCTTTGTTTTGCAATAAGCTAAGAACATGGTAAGCAGAGCTTGTTCTACTAATTTTGTATCGTATTTATTTGTAATTGTTATTGTTTCTGTTGTTTCTTCTTTTGCTATTTTTTTAGGAAATATTCATGTGAAATTTTTTTGTTGAATTGAGATTATGCTAATTGATTGCTACTTTAATATATGCGACAATATCTATTGTCAATTGCAGAATCTAGAAATATTTCATTAGTTTATAATATAGCTATCAAAAAATATCAAAATAAAAAATTATAACCTCGACAAACAATTCATTAATTATTGTTTATTGTCGGAACTAATGATCCGTTTTTGCATTTTCTTAGTTCTTCGAAACTATCAGTCATATCTTCATCTGAAGTTAAATTTTCTGATTTCTCACCTGTTAACTCTTGGTCACTCATTCTTCTTCCAAATTCCGATCATGTTCTTCATCGGATATATAATTAATGCAAATATTCTTAAATATTTCAAAATTTTCTTTAAATTTTTGTTTAAATTCTAAAAACCCGACTACTGTCTTGAATATAAAATCGGAACTAGGATCATTTATTGAAAATTCTATTTTGTTAAAAAGAAGCCATCGACAAAGAGGATGCGCATATAAATCTAATTCATAAATGCAAGAAGTGCTCCCTAAAAATTGAAGACATAAGTATAAAAAATGTACATTAATACTAACCATAAAAGTGAATTGTAAAATTAGAACAACTATCACTCGAATATTTTTCTCTTAGATAATTGTAAGCATCGTTTGAAGGTAAAATCAATTTTTTGTAATCATCTTCCTCATATTTGAGGGAAGCGGGTGTAGGTTCGAAAGGACCAGAAGATACTTCTGAAAAAAAAAAAAAAAAATACTTCTATAAGACGACGATTATTTACACCAAGATATCCTTTAATATCGTTCCTTGAATTACGATTTAGCGTAGCTATAATCTTTTAAATATATATATTCAGAATAAGAAGACTTTAATGCTCTTTTAGTTGCATCTTACAATAAATTTGAGAAAATTTTCCAAATTTCTTACCACTACTGCAAATTCATCTATATTGAAAAATAAGTCTTTTTATATCATTAACAATATCATATTTCCACGTTGATTCTATAACTCGCTTATTCTCTCTTGTAAAGAAAAGTTTTATTGATAGTCATTCTATATTAAAAAATAAAATTAATTAGTCTAAGACTAATTAAAAATACCGTACAAAGTTTTTACGAAGCTTGCATAAAGTTAGTTGACAATTGCTGCGGAACAAATGCATTTCCACTTTTTAAAAACGCAAAATTATGAATTCTAATTCAAATTTTCAGTAAATATTTAATTTTTAAAAAAATTAAAAGGATTATAGTTCTTAAAATATTATTTTATTTTTTATATATTGAATACATTAAGTAGTTTTAAAAAATATATATTAGCGAAAACTAATTGGTTAGAAAAAAGCAATTTTATAATAACTAATTATAATTTTTACAAACTACTTCTTTTAGCCCAGTTTACAACAGACTAAAATTTATGTTATTTAGGTCTTTTCAATATTTTGATTTATTTAATTTTGTCCAATCAAAATCTAGATTAAAAGTTACACAATAGATAAAATCAACTGTTTTTTTA